AATATTAGGGAACCAAATATGCCGGATATAACAAGCTTAAGACTAAATGGTTTTAAAAAAAAAAAAGCAAAATGTGTTTGCTCAATCTGTTGATAACAATTCAAATAACATAAAAGAAACATTGCTGATTTTTTTTATAACTTCTGAATGGCGATGTCAAAATCTGTATGTAGAGATAGCTTTTATTTTAGAACAGTGGGGTCGTTGCACTGCTAAATCAGTAGCAGTTCTGCTTCTGACCACAGTGAATGCAGAATCAAGCCCTGAAGTGTTTAATGGGGAAAAAAAAAAAATCTAGCACCATGTCTTTTTCCCAAATTAACAACATTATTTGGCAGTGCCAGACAATGATTTTGTAGTCAACTTCATTGGAATCCATTTTGTGGTGAAATTGGGTGTTTATCAGCCATGATGGTCATGTGTGCTCACAGAGGTCACATCGTTCCACCTGGTGGGCATTGCATGGAAGATGTTAAACTCCAGACATACCAATAGTATGATGGTTTGCTTCGGAAAATCCGAGCTGCCTGGATTACTCTGGAAGTGAAAAGATGCTTTCTTGGCATTCTTCTGTCTTGAAACATCACCAACAGGGACTGTCCCCCAGACTGTCCCCCACCACTGGTCTGGTGACGGTGGGCAGGACGGAGGGTCTGGGGAGGAGAGGGCAAACCCTGGTCTCTCAACTCACTCCGAATTCTTGGTGCTGACTCATTCAGAAAGTTAGATTTGGCTCCTCAGCTGGAGTATTTTTGGCTACTGCAGTTGATATTTGAGCTTTATTTTTATCCATTACTAATTTCTGCGAAACTGAAAGCAAGAACGGTGTCGTGGTGAGGAGCTGTGTCTGAACGTTACAGTAGAACAGTGCCTGCAGACTGCGCACAGTGGTATTAATTATACTTTTTAAGGCGCTCGTAACATTCAGCCCATTTCTTTACAGTAATGAGTATCAAACCAGCAGTTAATTACAGCGGTACCGTTTTCCTGCCTCCCCTCATTATCTCCGTCTTGCACTCCGGTTTCGCGCGGCTGCCGGCTCCCCGGCGCAGGCCTGGCAGCGCGGCGCGAGCCCAGCGCCAGCAGCGCCGGCGGCACAGGAATAGCATGGCAGATGGCAGCGGGCACTATTTATAGCTTCGGCCACGCTGCCCGAGGTGAGCGCCGCTGAAATCGTCTATCAGGATTGTTTTCAGCTGTTAGGGGATCGAGAAGACAATTTCGGGGCAGGGAGAGGGGGGAAAGGGGGAATTTGCATTCCTCAGAAGCCACCCCGGAGATGCCAAAGCCGTAGTATCGATTCTTAGCATTTTTCCAAACCAGTCAAAGCTATTTTTCCCTCTTGATTTCTGCCCCGTCTCCACCGGTCGCCCTGCGTCCCTTCCGAAGGCAGCCTTCCTCGCGGCTTCGTAGCGCGGGGTCGTGGCTGAGCTGGAAGAATTTATTGTTCTGTGGAAGTTGTGCTGCCATGGCAACTCGGGCACGCAGAATTTTAATTGCAAGGCACAATATATGTTTATGAAAATAATTAATAAAAATGCAAACAGGGATGGTTTTCGTGGATTAGCGGTATCTTTCGTGCTGGGTTTCTCACTCGCTTTTTTGCACAAAAGGGAGTCAGTGGGGCAGGGCTTGTTAAAATTACTAATTGCATTGTTTTCATCATGAAGTTTGTTTTTTTAAATCCAATCAGATGAAACTCTGTTTTCCCAGTGTCTAACCTGGATACGTATGGCTGATTTTAGGTTTGATTGTGTTGGTATCAAAAGCTATAAACGATATTTCATGCCAAAGCAGTGGGACTTGTGCAATCAGATGCATGCAGTCCTGAAAATCAAGGCTTCCGGCTGACAGGACTCTGCGAAAGGGAGAATAAGGAGAGGTTATTTTGTGTTCTGTATTATCCCAGAAAACTTACCTTATCTTCCAGTTACTACCAGGTGCTCGGTCCGGCGCCAGTGCAGTGTGTGACAGAGCATCCCTCGTCTCGCTCGGTGCGTCGTGCAGGACAGCCATGTTTTCATAGGAAAACACAGACCTGGAGACACAGTGCTGCCGATAACTCGAAATGGAGGCGTGATGCACTGTGCCTGATCTGTGCTCGAGGTGAATTTTCTTCCTTCCTCTTACTGACAGTTGAAGTCTGCTGTATGGTTTTGTTGTCGATTTTTATTATTTTTTTTTTTGGTTTGGACTGTGAGCCATGCTCTGATTCTGTCTTCTTGCGAGTAGTTAATATTGTTCATTATGAAGTATTTTACGGTTTTATTTTAAAAAGAATTAAAGACAACCCCAGAAAAATACAGGTTTTTTACTTTGGAATTGAATGGAGCACCGAGGTAGTGTTGCAGGCATGGCAAGTCTGTTTCGTTATTCCACGTTTTCCTCGTTTCTCTCTGACCCTCAAGCATGAAGGTTTTAATGCTGTAGCTGGTAGTAAAGTGAAATGTCAGCTAACTCATTACCGTCATTTTTGCTGGGTATGTGCAATATATGAATTTAAATGCTAATGAGTAGATTTTTTTTTTTTGGAAGCTTATTGCCTTGTGAAGTTTCTTTTAAAAATAACAAAACTGAACCAGACTTCTTCCTTTAAAGATTAATAATATGTGGTGCCAATTAAACTTTATATTGGGACAGGAAAGCCACCTACAATTCAATTATGCATTTATATTTCATCGTTTGCTACTCACTTTCTCAGGTGTTCACAAAATACTACCTCTATTACGATACATTGTGCATTTAATGTGCTGGCTTAATGATTTCATTGCTCTGTGATAGCTTTCAAATGGATGGGAAAACAAAAATACATTCTGCTCATTAAAGGGTTGTGTATCAAGTTCAACTTCATTAGTTTTGATTAGGACTGAGTCGGTGCCATCTGTGCTGTCAGCATTGTACATCTTTCACAGAAAAGACGAGAGATTTGAAATCCAATTCTCTCATGGTGTATTGCCCTCTTATTTTGTGCGGTTTCGTACGAAATTAACTTGGCTGGATTCCATGTCTTTGTAGCTGAGCTTTTTATTTTTGGCTTCAGTTACCTGGCAGTGGAGTCTTTGGGCCAAGTTTTGATCTTAGGTGCCTGACTGATTACCATATAAATTTTTTTTTAAAGCTTCAAGTGTGTTGGTTTCGATGCGCTTTCAAAATTAAGAAATACCACGGTGTGTTGCCACTACGTTTAGAAATACATTGGAAATACCGTTGTCTGAGATAATGGTGAAATCCATTTAAAACTATTTGAAGGAAGAAAATAAACCAGTATTGATCGCTAGAGGTGCAGACAGCTGTCTTGAGTGAAGAGCTAACTCGCGAAAGGAGAGTTGTTAGGGGGAGCACTGGGTGAAGGTAGGAGGCACTTAAAACTCGTTGCCAACTTTTAATAGATGTAATCAGCTACCAAGGGTCTTACTGGTACAGATAACCATTCCTACAGTGCTTCGTAAGATGGAACTCTTTGGATTTTGGGTTTTTTTTTAGGTGGTAGAACCGAATGGAACAGATACACAGGTAACTTGGGACGATTCTGTGTCAAACCTACTAATAAATCTCAGTTCAGGAAGCAGCTTCTATGCTAAGTGTTTTTTCCAGTCCTTTCAGTTGCAAAGGATCTTTAAACTTTGTCCTGCGTGACATCTTACGTGCCACAGAACTGCTGCTTTTTGAAAAGCTGATTGACAGAGAGTTCCTTGATAGCTAAAGCTGGTCTAAACTGGGACGGCTGCAGTCCTGACCTCTCGCCTGCCCCGACTATCTGTTCCTGCCTCCTCTGCTTTTCCACTGCCACTGGAGCTCGTGTGAGCAGCCAGGAAGGGACATCAGGGAGCTGACCTGGATGGAAATTAATGATATATTTTCCTCTGGGGTAGCTGTGGCCTAGATTAGTTCAGCGTGTGATCAGATAAATGCGGGTACTGGTTTGAGGGAGTGTGTGGGGACGCGTAGCCGGAGGGAGGAGCGGCACAAGGCTGTGGCAGCCTTAAGCCACATAACAATACGTGATACAGTATTTTGGAAGTAAGTGGCTAATGGAGCTAGAGGTTAACTTGCCCTTTGACTTGAAGTGATGCTCAGTAGGTTTGATCCCCTTCATTTCAAATAGGATTCTGATTTCTTTTTAAGGTTAAATTGCCATCGCTTTGGCCTCACAAAATTAATTCTGAAGTGTAAAACACGCTTCTACGGGTTACTGAGCCTACTTTTTGTGAGCGGCCGTGCAGGTTGGAGATGCGCACTTTTCCATAATGGCAAGTATCTCATTGTAAATTAAAAGATTACTTTTCATCATTCGTGTTGCACACACCCCTTGAGGTCTTGAAAAAATTTCGTAGTTTTGCTGAAAAAAAGTAATAACAGAACCCAGGCAGTATCTTTAGCAACCTCAGTGGTCCCTTGATGCTCTCTCTACCATTAAAAACTTCTTAAAATGTGACTTTTCGACATTTCCTGGATTCAAAGAATGCTGTTTCTTCCATTTTATTTTAGCTAGCTGGAATGAATCCCTTACTTGGCTTTCTCCCTTTCTCTTTGAAGTGATGGGTGGTAACTGCCGTGCAGCCTCATGTGTTCACAGTGCTCAAGCTGTAATTGTTGCCTATCCATTTGTAAGAGAGTCTCTCCTCCTCTCTTGGGGAGCCAGCTATAAAATAAGTAGTAAGCTTAACGAAGCACGAAGAATTATTACCCTACAAATTAACAGTTATGTAAGATTTGGGCTTGGTTTGTTGTTTTGTTTTCCCAAAGATCCAGAAATACATGCTTGTCTTCTCGAAAAACAACTCTGCAACATCATGGACGTGTTTCTGGGTAATCCACTAGGAAATAAGTGTGACAATACCTTTGGAAAATGCATTTACTTCGCACCTTGAATGAGAATAACGCGCGTCAGTCTGTATTTGAAGTGTGCGTTCGGTGTACTTTGAAGGTAACGTTTTCATGTCAGTTACCAGTTTTGTATTATTTCATGAAGTTAGAGACCTCTAGCAACTCTAAACACCATGCCAGATTTACCACTTCACCCCGTGATCGTCACAGTGTCAGTGATGGGTAGGAATGTTATCTGAACCCATACCAGTGCAGTTTGTGAGTGTTTTCTTCCTTATTTTTCTTCAGAGGTTTCCCTATACTGTTCGTTTCTCTCTTGCAAGGTTCCTCCTATCAATCTCTCAATTATTGATGAGGTCTGCTCTTGGAGCATTTGCTCATAATGAATAATTTCAAAGACAAATAAAAGACCCCTCTGCAAATTTAATGCTTTGCCCTTTTGTAGTGTGTTATATTGCTTTCTTGGAATGGAGCACTGGGAAAAAGAATCCAAAGCAAAAGCTATTTTGTTTGAAGTTTTATGCATTATGTATATTTCTTCTATGAAGCTACAAAATGTGACATATCTAGGATGACTAAGAATGACAGGTGATTGGGTGTTTTGCAAATGGAATGACAAATACTTCTTTTAAGTTAGTATTTTATATATTAGTATCTTGGGTTTATATGTTAAAGGACATACAAGCAAGGGAGGGTAGGTCAGGAAGAATTACAAGAAATTCTCTGCTTAGACGTGAAAAAGCCTGGTTGAACAAATAGTCTGAAAAGGAAATACTTAATTTTGATAATGTGCCTCTCTCTTTAAATTATGATTGACTTATTTTCACTGCAGAGAGTGCTGTTTTCTCATGTATGTAATGACAATCTAAAAATGTGGATTGATTATATGATGGGCCTGAGAATGAGGGACAATCAGTGCTATGAGATTGCAGTCCTTTTTGCTACTAAAAAAAAAAGTTTTAATTCATGGGTGGATGCTAGTGAGTTGGTTTTTTCCTCTTTGTAGCCCAACCTAAAGTGGGCTTCATGGAGGAAGAGGTAATCATTCAGTCAGCTGGGAAATACGTGGAGTTATCCTGTCGTCTTGACATCATGAACCTGCAATTTTTGTGCGTGTTATCAGAGGAGAGGTGGAAACGCCACCTGCCCTCTTCTGGGTTTGAGTCGTCTTCCAGGCTGACGTCAAGGATGTCGAATGTATGGTGTGCCCTTTCTTCTCTTTCGCCCCACCACTTTGATTTGTGATGAGTTCTTTAACCAGTAGAGTATATGAAGTAACGTATAAAAAAATTACCCTCGTGATATATTCAATTTTATAGAATCCTGGAGTTTTAAACCTGGAACCTTGCCTTTCCCACATTTTTTAATTTTCGTATCACTTAAATTTCCCTTTTTCTGATTTGTAACTGACACTGCTGCTCATGTTGGGGAGAACTTTCAGATCATTTTTCTACTGCTTGCCTTGAAACAGCAAATTTAGCTGTAGGAAAACTGTAGAGATAATTTTAAAATCTGTCTTCAGGCTGAACTTCTCCATTTCCACTTTTTCCCGTGACACAAAGCAAGACTGAACTAAAAATAGTGGGCTGTGAACTTTAATGTTGCTAACTGCTGATTGAGCCACTGTCACACTGCGTTTTTAAGACCATCAATGTGCAGAAAGATTTAATGGGGTTAAAAAAGTTAGATAAAAACCTTTTCGATTAGAAAACTAGCACTATCTATTAAACAAATAGCTCCCTACCTTAGTCTGAGAAATAGATCGTAATTCAGTTTATTTAGAGTTTCATTATTAATAGGATACCATACTTTTCTGATGGCTTTGCAAGAAATTACGTGTCAAGTCAAATACTTTTGCAATATTGGGAGAGAAAATACTTTCTGATTAAGAGAAAAATGGGGGAGATGGTAGCTGTCATACAGAAGAGTACTAAGAAGAATCAAAGAGTGAGAGACTCCAGGTGTTTTTGTGGACACACATTTTTGGTTTGCCTGTAAATAGCAATCTGTGTTTATGCTTGCTGAGTCTTTGCAGAAAAAAATGCATGTACTTAATGGAAAACTTTGGACCATATTCTGTTTAGAATCAGATCTGGTTTTATGTATTTTTGATGTTTTCCATCTTGTATATTCCGTCTTGACAGATATTTGTGTAGTGGGAGGTTAATCTTTTCCCTCTGCTTAATCTCTCTGTGAGAGCCTGTAACCCACTTTTCTGTAACAGCAAATTTAGTTTTCTGTCTTGATCTTGAGAAGGTGAAAGCACTGGTAAGACTCAATATTGCTAATGCCCTGATCAGCGTTTGTTCTGCCTGTTAAGATAATTAGTCTGGTTTTTGTAAGAATAAACTCATTTAGATGGATTGCTAGATCAGGTACACCTGCCTTTCGGATCATAGTTATAAAGCAGTTTGGGGAGTTTTACAAGGCCAAAATCCACATTGAGAATGTTCACCATAATGCTGCCTGGTGCTAGTTAGCATGTCCCAAAAGAAATGTTAATGATCTTTTTTTTTTTCCCCCCCATAAACAAGATGTGTGTCTGTGTTCCACTAAGCTGGTCCATCAGCTGGTAGAACTGCACTCTGAGCTTGTATGAGCTATGTGCCCTCAAATAGTTTTCTGTGATTTGGAATCCTCTGTGCTGTACTAAAGATATTAGACAGGAATTGTAAGATCGAAGGGGTAAGTGGAGGTGCGAGGGTTGTATCTTTGAAGTTTTAGAATAGAATGGACTAGAGTAGTTCTGTTGGACAGGCCCTACAGCAAGCAGGCAGTCCAACGGCCTCCGTACTTCAGGGCTGACCGGAAGGTAAAGCATGTTATTAAGGGCATTGTCTAAATGCCCTTTTTGCCATCAAAAGCTTTAAATACCTACGTGAGGCAGCAAAATGAGATGCCATTCACAATGGCTTGTGTCATTCACAATGGGTTGTGCAGCTTTATTGTCCTCCTGCTCCAGAGATCAGATTCTATTACAACAATGTAGTGGGATAGCTGTGTTACAGTTCTTACGATGACTTATTACAGTTGTTTGTCTTTTCCCCCAGATTTTTTCCACTGTTTCTTATACATAAACTGAAGTTTCAGTGGCTGCCAGCGGCACAACCGATTTTCATTAAACCAGTATTAAATAGGAGATTCTTTGACTGAGGAGAGATTTCTTCCTCCACTGAACTGAACTGCTTTGCAGGTTTTGCCTGACCTGAAGTGAAGGCACTTCCAAAGAAAGGGTTAGCTGCTCTGCCATAATCTGTGTGAGAAGAGTTGAAATTTTGCAGATTTGTTACACAGGGTCGTTTGTGTCTAAATTTAGATGAACATCATATTTTAAGGAAACGGTATCAGCTGTTCTGTTTCTTGGGACTTCTCTTTTTGACATTAACTTACATTTGTCAATAGTAACTTTTGTCTTTATTGCTTAGTCCTTACTTTTGCAGTTGGGAAAAGAATGCATTTGAGAAACATGTGATGTTCCTCATGACTTATTTAATATTCTGACCATGCTATGTGCTCCTTGAAAGTCGTGATATACACGTTCTTATAAACATACATGCCATTTAGTTTTAAAACAGTAGTAAGTACTTTTACAAAGAAAGAGCATGATGAATTGCTTTTTACTTTCTAGATCAAACTTTCCGTGTTGAACACTCTAAAACTTGGATGGATCTCCATTTTGTGAGCCAAAAGATCCAAAGTAATATAGGCTCTCAATCTGTAAACCCATAGGTACCTGAACGCTACTAGGTATTCCAGAAGGAGCACCCTCTAAACATATTAAAAAATATAAACATTATGTGACTCACAAATATCGTCGACCTAGAAATGCGGATGTTATGTATAAATGGATGGAAGTGGATGTATAAATGAATGTGTGGTGTTATAGAAATGTAGATTCAGAAGTAGTAAGAAGCCATCTTCATTTGTGGTATTCTCTGGTACACATTTATACACTTTTAAGTAGATATTTCCATGAATTTTTCCTGCCATTTGCAAGTTCACATTTGCATGTGGTGGTAAAAATGGCAAATACACTATCAACACTGGAGGTTAAGCATAAGTGAGCTGAGGTCAAACAGATAAGGAATCGCACATGATAAGCAATTGAGATCTGAAAGTGGCTATAAAGTAATGGGATGGTGAAGTATAATGCAAAATACAGGAATGCTTGTCGGAAAGAGGTACGGAAACAAGACTGACCACTTGTTATCAGTAATACTTGTAAATATCCAGAGTAGGGAGAGAGTCTTGCAGCACATGCAATGTTTTCTTCAATCTAGCTGTGGTAATTAAGTACGAAGAGTGAGCAGTGCTATCCAAAAAAGTCAGTATCTGCTTAAATAAGCCCAAGGTATATAAGCAGCTTTAAGAAGTTTAAATTTTAATCTACATCAGTTGTATATTGTAGGAGGTCAAGAATTCTTCAGCCAGCAGGATTTTAAGTCTAGTATATGCTTCTAATACTCGAAAGGAAAAACCCCTTTTCATCTAATAGCTGTAACTAGATTGTATAGAATTCCTTAGCCTGCTTAGTAAAACACTAATTTGGATTTACTTTCAAGCTGATTTTCATTGATTTAGATTAAGATAAGATATTTGATTTATAGCTTCCTTTTTTTGAGTCAGTGAGAACTAAACGGAGTTTAGTTAAACTAAACTATTTAGCACTTCTCTCTTGTCTCCGGTCCTTTATCTCGTTTCATTTCTTCGTGGTCCTCTCCTTTTCACCACCTCTTCTTGTCTTCATCTCTGTCCCTTCAGTTTAATTCCATTTCCCTTTCTCCTGCTTTAGGTTTTTCTCTGTCCTGTATTTCAGTCCTTGCTTGCTGCTCATTCTCCACACACTTTTGCACAGTGAGAGTCTGATAGAACTTTTTTTCCCCGTTTTGCTGTTGACCAGCCTGTTGTAGTCACATCTGTAAAGTACTCGATGCCATTTAACCACAAGCTGGAGCCTTTTCTTCACCTCAGGCAAATATATGTATAATGAAGTAACAAAATTTCATGGGAAGTACTTTGTCTGGAAAGTGAAGAGGCAAAAAAGGGAAGAAAAACTAAATCAAGGTTACCCCTTCACTGGAACCTTCTCTCTAAATGTTGCCCTTGGTTACCCAGCAAAAGTGTGCTCGCAGATGGACAGCTCTGGGGAATGCCTTTGCAGATGACAACTGAACTTGACCTGTCTTGTTCTATGAGGAGTCGTTTTTGTCGGCAGTTTTGAGAAGGCCTCGGAAGTCCCCAGGATCTTCCTTTCCAGCCAGACCTGCTGAGCCCCGTGGTAGGCACCTTTTGTGTCTTTCCAGTTCTCCGTCACACCTGACGACAAGGCACCCATTTTGTTACTTCTTCTGCCTCCTGCCTGTGTCTCTTTAGATGTTCTTGGAAGTGAAAAGGATACGGTGACAGGGATGTTGCTGAGGCAATTTGATTTTCTGATGTTTTTGTCGGTGAGTTTTGGGTTTTGGCAGAATTTTCAGTAGACCTCAGTGTGTGAGAATCACTTGTCTGTGTAAGCAACCTTATTTGAAAAACAGGGAAGTGATTTTCTTTGTGTTGAATGTAATGATCTAGTAACTTGGTAAACAAACCCTCTGAATTATAAAGTTATGTTTAATTGATGGTGACCCTTGGAAAGCATTGTAAGAAAATGCGCTTGACTTCAATCCAGCTGTGGGGTTTTTGTTGGGGAGGAGTGTTTAAACTCCATCAGTTTAGCTTTGCTTCAATGTGACGTGGTTGCTGGCTTTTAATGTAGACCTTAACATAACTGCGTAACGTAACTGAGCCATCTTATGACTGCAAACGTGTGGAAGGTGCTTCTGTAGAATTAGAAACAAGTGCTGCCTCATGGTATTTTTTCAGTAATATCCTTTACGTGAAGGGATTATCATCTCTTTGTGATTTGTTTTCATTTTATCATTATAACTTTGTCTTATTCTTCCGTGCCTGAGGGTTTATACTGAAATGAGTTAATTGCTTCTTATGATGGTGAAAGTAGCTGGTTTTATTTGTCTTATAGTTATTCCTTGTTTCTTATGGGATGAGAAATCATCGATTTTCCTATTTATACTGCTCATTGGCATAAATGTCGGAGGTGCCAAGAAGGGCAGTGTTGGTTCACTTAGAATTAGCATATTTAAATAGATCCGCTTCTGTTTTGTCATGGAGAGTGTGTGCATAGTCATAGACAGAAATTT